TGCTTCTGATTTTATGCCATGAGGCGTTTTAATACACACTTAATGCCTAATTAACTAAATACTGAATACAAATGTTGATTAGAAAGTAGAGACGTGATTGCGCGTGTAAGTCGGCTCGGATACCGGCATCGTGTCGCGGAGTTACAATACTAGAACTATGAAAATACACTCTAAGAATTTATCTGACGACGCTAATAATTATCGCGGACATGAATAATGATCGGTATCGGCCTCGCGGAATACACAAAGTAATTCGGAGCTTTAGCGTCCGAGTTCTAACTTACTGACTATAGCAGAGACTTACACGAGGTCTGCACGCGGCACGCCATAACGCCGGAGAGAGAATGGGGAGAGTCATGGAAAGAACGACCGTATCAGCGTCGCGACGGACGCGCGCAGCGCCGCAGCTAACGTTCGCAGCGCCGCAACTAACGCTCGCAACGCCACAGGACCACGCCCAGTGGCGGGGACTGGTGGCGGCAGACCCCACCCAGCGGTGGCGAATCGCGCTCGGTGGCCATTGACCCCGCGTGACATCATCATCGCGATGCGAGCGCAAGTTTCCGCACACCTTCGCTACGTAATTTCCTGCACCCGGAACATTCTCGTCCCCCGCATCGCAACGTCATCCCCGCAACGTCACCCACTGTAACATCATTTTTCTCCTCCTTCCCTGTGACATCATCTACCTCCCCCTCATCTAGAGACGTCATCCGCATCCTCCCCTCCCCCTGTGACATCACCTCCTCCCCTTCCCGTGCCACAGGGATACTTCCCTGCCCCTCACCCCTCAGAGGACTCGTGTTAGAATCCCTCTTATTACCTTACTTCACGCTGCAAATACTCTGTGCCGTTTTCTTGTCGATTTTATCGCGCAATAATGTTCAAAACACGCATTCCCGAAGAACGAACATTTACATATTTCGCTCCTAACGGTATTTATTATATCCTGCTGTTCGCATGTTGTTGTAACGCGGACACTTACTCGAATAACGACATTCCCCTCTCTACGCAGTAACCGATATTACACAGAACGTAATATCTCCCTAATATCTCCTACTTCCCGTAGCTGCTTTTAAATTTAAAATCGATATATACGAGGGCAAATCAATAAGTACCTGTGTTAGTAATAAAGACGCAAGCTTTTCAAAAATTTTTTTTATTTTTCAACATAATTTCTTTTTAGGAGAATATACTTTTTCCAACGCTTCTGCCATTTTTTTAACCCTTCAGAAAAATACGATTTATCGAACTCTGCAAAATAGGCCTCTATTTCAGCGATAACCTCCACATTCGACGTGAATTTCTTTCCACCGAGCCATTTTTTCAAGTTTGGAAAGAAGAAGTCACAGGAGGCTAAATCCGGAGAGTACGGTGGATGTGGCAGCAATTCGTAGCGCAATTCGACCATTTGGCTGTGGCGACTGCGGAGGAGTGAGCCGGTGCATTGTCCTGATCGCGGCACCCATCGGGCCGACAGCCCGATTTTTCATTCCCAAGCTATCATGCAAAATATTGAATGCCGTTCCGTATGACATGCCTATAGCCTCTGCTACTTCATGCACTTTCATTCGGCGATCAGCGAGAATCATGTCGTGGACTTTTTCAATGATTTCCTCAGTAACCACGTCTGTCGGGCGGCCTAGGCGCTCCTCATCAAAAACAGACGAACGACCACGTTTGAATTCATTGAACCAATATCTGACGATTGTCATAGATGGTGAAGAGTTTCCATAGATAGACAGCATTCAACTTCGTTTTTATTTCTTCGCACGTTTTTCCATCCAAAAATAAGAAACGAATCACAGATCGATTGCTCTTTTTCCATTGTATCGGAAAACATCAAACACGCTCACTACGAATTGCTGTCAAATCAAGACTATTACATGAATCATTCTGAAATTTTGTATGGCGTCGTTTGGTAATACACGATGGTAATCAACCAACTTGCATCAGCAACGTTGCCTATCTTGAAACACGGATATTTATTGATTTGCCTCGTATATGACGTTACAAGGGCTCACGTCCTAGCACGGTAAGCACATCAACTCTATTGAATAAAGGCCTATATTCTTTGCCACGTCCGTTTTCTGGTGTGTAATGGGCGACCCAGGTCTCGTCTCCAGTGACTATAGATTTAAGGAAGTCATTTCCCTCATCCCTGTAACGGTCCAAAAATTCTTTACCTGCAGTCACTCGTGTGGCCTTGTGTAGAGGAGTCAGTTCTCTGGGAACCCAACGGGCGCAAACCTTGCGAAATTCGAGTTTTTCTGAAACGATCTCATGGATAAGACTTCGGGATATCTCTGGAAAAAGGTTGTGGAGTTCATCTAAAGTTAAACGACGATCATTGCGAATCGCATTTTCAATTTTTGTCGTCAACTCATCCGTGATAAGGGAGGGTCTGCCTCTCCCACTTTCGTCTTCAAGCGAATGTCTTCCTGCCTTAAATTCTCGGACCCATCTCCGCACCATAGATTCACTCATCACACTCTCTCCATGTACAGAAACAAGCTGTTTGTGAATATCAACCGATTTAAAATCTTGAGCAAAAAGAAACTGAATGATGCCGCGCAAAACAACTCGAGAAGGAATCGGAATGGAGGTGGCGGGACGCGAAGTGGAGGACTCCATTTTGATAACCTCTCCTGACCGTGTTTCACGAGCTACTGACGCCGAACACCGCTCATTCTATTCGGTAGCTTCCCCTCTTCAATGCTGTGTTGCCAGCTCGCTCATACATCGACCTTACTAAACGTATAATACAAACGGAACTTATTTTCTGGATACCCCTCGTATTAAAATTATAAACAATAATCATGACATTAGATGTGGTGAGAAAGCTTCGATTTCCCGAATCCCACAACCGTCTAATATGATGACATCAGCCTTTCGTATCAAATCTTGCGCAAAGTTACGTTGCAAGACCGAATTTTTGTGTCTTATCGCTTCTTACCGACGATGAAGTTCCCCCACTCGTAAAGTTCCGCGCTCACGTAAATTTGAGCGCATACAAAAAGAAAGGGAAGCATAAATTATTAGAATTGAAGATTGTTATAATCGGACATTTCCTAACTTTCCGCGTAAGTTTATTCACCAGCAGCATGTCCATGACCTCTCGATGCCGTGACATTGAAAACGCGTACGTTGAAATTCTGCGCCTGAGGAAATATCGAGACCACTGGCACTTTGTGATACTTAACTCACAAGACGCCAAATGTCTTCGTGAGTTGTCACGTGTCGGACAAAATAATAATCCCGCTGAATGCGTTAAATCCGCCGAATCAAGCGGAAATCTTATGCAATCGTCTGATTCGGAGATGTAACGCGTAAGCATAAATTTCGCGTTTTGCTCCGAGCAGTCTGAGTGGAAAGACGTGCCTCCGCGTGAAGTGTGTTTTTCGACTTTGTAACACGGCGCGATGGAGCGTTCGCTTGAACAGCGATACGCCATCAAGTTTTGCGTGCGACTTGGAAAGAATGCAATCGAAACATTCCAGATGCTTCAAGAGGCCTTCAAGGACGACTGCATTTCAAGGTCACAGTCCGGGAGGTGGCACAAGGCGTTCAAGGAGGGCCGGGAGGAGGTCGCCGACGAACCCCGTTCTGGACGCCCAACAACGGCCAGAACCGACGAAAACGTAAATCGTGTGCGAAGTTTTGCGTTCCGACCGTCGATTGAGCATCCAGTACATCGCTGACACCCTAAACATGTCCACATTTGCGGTACATGGGATAGTGACGGAGAATCTGCAAATGCGCAAGGTCTGCGCGAAGCTTGTGCCGAAAGTGTTGACGGCAGACCAGAAAGAATTTCGAGTTTCGCGCTGTCAAGAATTATTGGATTTGATTCAAAATGAACCGGACTTTCTTAACTCTGTCGTAACCGGAGACGAATCTTTTTTTTGTTTCCCCGTCTGAAGAGAGAACTGAAAGGAAAGCATTGGGAGTCCGTGGAAAACATCCAAAAGCATGTTACAACGTTCCTAAGAGACATTCCCATCGAGGAATTTCAGCGTGCCTTCCAGGCGTGACAGACACGTCTCCGCAAGTGTATTGATTCAGGGGGAGAATATTTTGAAGAATTTTGAGCATTTGTACCGCTACGATCAATAAATCTATTTTTCCCAGAAAATGCGCATTACTTTTATAATGGACCCTGTATAACAGCTAAAAATTTCGAAACTAAAATAATTAAAATCCCTGACCTCATTTCCCTGATTTTTCTGCCTTCTTCCTCTTCCTCAGGAGCGCCTTCCTCCTCCTCAGGAACGCCTTCCTCTTCCGTCGTATTTCCTCTTTCTCTCTGTCTGTTGACCCCCCTCTCTCTCTCTTTCACTCCCCTCTCCCTCTCTCTCTCCCTCTCCCTCCCTCCCCGTATCCCTTCAGGAATGACAGGATGATTCCGTACAGCATGGTGAAACGACTGATTACAATGACTGTAATTAGTGTGGCAGAGAATGATGATAAGGCCCTCGTATACGTTAAAAGATTTAAAAATGCGAATAGCTGGCTGATATACCCAATAGCGACGACTTGACCATTGAGATCCTGGATGCTGGTTACGAAGATATAGATTCTCTACGTAATCTGGATATTACTAATATTGTACGATGCGGAAAACATGTTAAGAATTGTGCGTTACAAAATGTATTTAAGATATACAACTGGTGGTCGCAATGGCTAAAAAAAATGTATCAAGTTTAAAAAATGAAGTATTCTTTTTAAATATGTTTAAAATAAAATTTCTTTTTAAATATGTTTAAAAATAAGATTTCTTTTTAAATATGTTTTGATTTCTTTTCCCAAAATTCATTTTTTAAAAGAGAATAGGAGCAGACAGACTTTATCGTCATTGGCGCCGATCCCTTAGATAAAAGAGATTTCGATATCGTTAGAGTGCATTCTTATGATATGTGTCACTTTGATATCCTTGGATCACGTCGCAATTGTTCTTCAAAATATAATGTATATAAAAAAAATCTCTTCTATTTTAGGATGTGTAAAAAAATATGGAAGGGAACACTATTTAAAAGAAGAGCTCCAAGCAACTTTATCGCATCAGTCGTTCAGAGAGCTTCAACAGAGTTCAGATAGCTAATTATAAGTTAGAGAGAAAATAAAATATCTCAAGCCATGAACTATTACGTTCTAATTAAACAGGATAAGATCTATTTACATGTTTTCTTTTTTTTTCAAAGCGCATTTTCTCAAACATCGTTTGAGAACAAGAGAGATCGCAAATAATTAGTGTAGGATTGCAACGGGTGGAAGAGATAGAATTGCATCCTACAATGGATAGGAGTGAGAGGACAATAGGTTAGAGAGAGAGAGAGAGAGAGAGAGAGAGAAAGAGAAGGATCGAAACTCCCTTCCCCTCTAACACGGACCCCTGGCGCTTCCCTCCTCCCTCGGACCCTGCACGCCTCTGTGAGGCACTTCCCCCTCCCTAACTCCTTCACATGCACACACACGCGCGCGCGCGCGCGCACACATACACATCGTATACATATACGCACTAACACATTCTTCTTCTTTAGTAATTAATGGCCCTGGTCCTCGTTGACGAGATAAACTTCACCAGTCTTTTTCTTCTTCTTAATGGGATATACAAAAGCGAGAAAAAAAATGATGCAAAAAATGATGCAATGGCTGCGAAAATGGTGAAACCCGTACGAACGTCGGGCGCCTGCGTCTACGGCGTCCTCACACCGCACGAACGCGCGTGAGGACGAGTCGTCCAAAATCACGGGACAGCTGCGAGAGGTTCAATGCTCAGTCAAAGTCGGCAACACTTTCAAAAATATGTAAACTTGTAACACCCGAAACGCGTTCGCCCCGGTGGTTTTTCGGAACTCCGCACTAACACATACTGAGTTAGAATTCCCACTATTATCCTACTCGGAAATCTACCAATTCGAAGGAGAGATCAGGCCTGGGTACGAGACGAGAAACGCCCTGACATTTTTCTTTGTTGTCATTAATTGTTTACAGTTCTTACAGAGGCTGTGTTCCAAAACTTACTGTCAGTATTAAAAATCTATAGTACACATAACGAAAACTATAGATATTTTCAGTCAGAACTTCTATAGAACACAGCCAGAATCTTATAGTCCTCTATAGGAACCTGTGAAAAAACTTATGGGAGTTTACAGCAAGATAGAAGCCTCTTCCCATGGGAACCAATCGAATTTGCCACGGATACCCATGATTAGACAAATCCATAAGAAAATTTCCCATAAGAATTTGCAGCAGGTTATTCTTGTTTAATGGCTTCTGCACCTTGAATGCTTTACCGCGCGGCAAAATGAAGTGGCCAATAAGCTTACAGCTCCTACATATTCATTAGTTACCGCGTCGTATTTTGCTGCGCGACAAGCGTTTTTGCGTCCAGTGTGCAGAAGCCTTGGGTTTTCACTTGACGACGCTCATTTTTAACATTAAAACAGGTCACGTAATCAAAATTGACAAATATCAAGCGTCAATTTTGATCACGTCCTCTTTTGACGCTAAAAGGGACGAACGAGTCGTCCAAAATCACGGGACAGCTGCGAGAGGTTCAATGCTCAGTCAAAGTCGGCAACATTTTCAAAACGTCGTAGCGTCAAGTGAAAACCCATCTGTTCGAGATGCATCCGAAAAATCAGTTTCCGCAGATTTGGTGTACGTGCGACATGTGGATTGGAAGCTTTTGGAACAATTTCAAACGTTTCTAGAAGTTTCCAAAAAACAAACTTGACAATCGCTTAGTTGGTAAAGTCAAAAAATATAATCAAGGCCGCATATCGTACAAAAAACCAACCGCTAAAACGGCAATCAAATTCAGATCGGTCTCAGCGCACACGCGCTCGCGTGACGCGAAACGCGTAACATATTGGATCATCTAAAAACCGCGGATACTTTTTAGATGACCCAATACATACGATACCCCAATCAGAATTCCTGATTTGGTGGACGCGCATGGCAGTAGCGTACCGCTTGGCCGTCGCGATCGAGAATTGTCAATCGCAACCCGAATCATGGGGTCACCTCAATTTTTATAATTTTTCAAGAATTTCATAGGCGATTGAAAAAGAAAGCCTTTATTTTACAAAAGAGATAAAAGACCGAATCGAGCTGTGATCCTCCTTCTTCGCCTTTTTTCAGTCAGAGTTAATCCTTCGCAATAAGTGCAATCGCCTGTGAGACGCTCCGCTAGAAAACCGCCGCATTCGACTTGTAATCGAAGATTCACGTAAGTCGAACTTTAGCTAAAAACACCTCACTCAAATTCTCTTTCTATCGCTCTCGTTTTGCCTCGCTCTCGAACACCAGCCTTACATTGAGTGAACAACAAGGATAAAACGATGCGGGGAGACTTGTGTGATGTTTTCGAACGCAATCGAAAGATGAAAAATTACCGATAGTGGTTATTATCGACTATGCGGTAGTTTTTTTTAATAAAATATCGATATATCGATAGTACGGAAATTTTTAAATTATTATTAATATTACATTATAGGCTAAAACCGCCAAAAACTTCAATTCTATCAGATTTTATATATTATGTTCTCCGACATCAGCTTTAGTTGAAATCCAACAAAGTTATAAAAGGGTTAAGTTAACCGAAGCTTGGTAAAATTCATTCATTATTATTAAAAATGGCTAACGAATAGATAATTGGCGAATTCCATAATCTATCTGATGATTTTTAATACGTTATCTAATTTTGCTACTAACCTAAATCGGTTATACTTTTTTTATATGGGTCATCTAAAAAGTATCCGCGGTACTTTGTCACTAGATATATGACCATCAACACACATCTAGTGACAAAAAACCACGGATACTTTTTAGATGACCCAATATATCTAGAATTAGGCGTCCCATGGAGCAGAAATTTACAGCAGAACGGAACAGTGCAACCAATCACAACTCTGCAGTCATTACTCTGTTTTCTTTTCTACGATTGTGATTGGTCGCACTATTCCGTTCCGCTGTAAATTTCCGCTCATAGGCCAGCCTAATGACTCCTACACACAAAACGTGGCAATCCTCGCAACGCGGTGGAAGTTGTCGCACTAACCAATAATGGCTCCTGCACACAGAACGCGACAACACTTGCCGCACAGCGGAAGTTATCGCATTAAATCTATGTTCTCAAGTTGGCCTCACCTTGCAAAACTTCTAGAAATGATGTAATATTATTTCCGCCGCGCGACAAAAGTTGCATTGAGTTAAACTTTTGTCGCGCGGTAGAAATTATACAGGGTTGGCCATATTCGACGGAAAGATGTTTTTTTTTCAATCATGGGAAAAAAACACATTTTTTGCTGTTCATTTTAAAAATCATTTAATAGGGTTCAAGGAGATTTGCCACATCTTTCCGTCGAATATGGCCAACCCTGTATATATATTACTTTTAGACAAGCAAGATGTTATTTGGCTATCGCGTCAACTTCCATCGCGCGGCAAGCATTGCCGCGTTCTGTGTGCAGGAGCCATTATGCTCTTGCACACTGGACACGGAAACGCTTGCCGCGCGGCAAAATAAGACGCGGTAACTAATGAACACATTAGGAGCTATAAGCTTAGGGTGAAATCACACAGTGCGGAATAGAACTGCGGAACAGAGAATGCATCATTGTTCTTGTAATAAATTTCGTCGTATTTTGAGAGGTTAAAATAATTTGATGCTGATTGATGTGATGGAATTGCAATATCGAGATGAATGAAGCAAAATGACAAAATCTGAGTGCATAAATATAAATATCAAGATAAAAAAAATAATGATGCATTACGTGCGATTTCAATGTGCCCTTTTCCGCACTTTTCCATCACGCAAGTTCTGTGTGCTATGTTCATACGATGCAGAAAAATGATAGTAAATACGTTAAAGTAGTTCAAAAAATTGTTATGAGATTAATTGTAAAATTGTAAATATTAATTGTAAAACATTAAATACTAAAACAGTAATAATTATTTTTACAATTTGAAAAATTATATTTCATTTTAATAAGCAAATTATTAACATGAAGTTAGTAGTTTTTAAATTATATTTACCCTGAATACATCTTTGACGCATCATGTGAACATAATACACAAAACTTGCGTGATGGAAAAGTGTGGAATAGCGCTGATTGGTTGCTTTAATGACGCGTTCTGTATTCCGCAGTTTCCGGATCGTGTGATTTCACTCTTATTGGCTACCTTATCACATTTTGCCGCGCGGCAAGCGTTTCCGCGTCCAGTGTGCAGAAGCCATGAAGTTGTCCCATAAAGTAGAAATTGGCAACGAAACGGAACTCGCGGAATCAACACGAATCGCAGTCGTTTCGCTATTTTCGCTATAATTTCACTGGCCTAGTTTCCATCGAGGGTTTAAACCGGATCAGAATGTAAGAACCAATTACAGTCGAGCATTCCCCTGTCATTCGATTGTAACAGGTTTAAACTAGGCCACTGTTACAATTTGCAGAATGAATAAAAGTTGCACATAATTTCAATATTATATGCTGTAAATGTATATTATATGTACATTGTCCATATAATGCGATTGGTTACATACTCTTTTTTGTCTTTTTCATTAATACTAATATTGGATATTTCTTTTTTGTCTTCTTCATTAATACTAATATTGGACACAATAGCAAAATGTTAATTCGATGATTACAGTAAATATGAATGTAGATATTAATCAGCAGCCTGCGATTCCGTTTATGTTCTTTTCCTTATGTCCCATTGGGCGGAAAACGCGGAAGCGGAATCAAGTTTCAGCCAATCATGAGATTTTACGATTATGTTAAAAATATTTTAATGCTAAAGAAGTTTTAATTTTTAATTTGTTATATATACATTATTATATTACATTAAAATATTATTTTTATTATTACAAGTATTGTAAATAATATAAAAAGTACGATTTTATATTATTCCGCATGTTCTGTTTATTCCACTCAATGAGACATAAAGGATTTAGGAAAAGCATAAAATAGAAAACGAAATGGTTGTGATTCGTCGTGTTGATTCCGCGAGTTTATTCTATTGCCAATTTTCGCTCCATGGGATGGCACCCTGAGGGTGATATTTCATTTGTGCGTTTTTGTCGTACGACAAATTTTTCAAACCTGTTATTAGGCTATAAGATCTGAAAACCTTTCTGTTCTATACACATTTGTCGTACGACAAAAACGCACAAATAAAATAGCATTCTAATTATAGTTACGTTTTGAAACGTAGGACTACATTCAGGAATTACGCTTAGATAACTCTAGGATGCATTTTTGCTATAATATAACGTATAATGTAACGTAATCTATAGCTTAAGCGGAAAACACAGACTTTTGCATAATGCATAATACATTATGCATAAGAAAATGTACCACGCATACAATGCGTTCTACAATAAACCATTAATCATAAATAAGAAAAATGCGTTCTACAATAAACCATTAATCATAAATAAGAAGTTAGAAGCTGGAAATTGACCAATCACAGTCGTTAATTTCCAATTTCTAACTTCTGATTTATGACTAATAACTTATTAGAGAATGGCCATACTAATCAAAATTCTTCGTCTCCTTCCTTTCCATAAAATAAAGAATTGGTTGGATTTCTTATGCCTTATGTGTTATCCGTTATGTAGGGGCTCCGCACAATAAAACGAACAGGGAACAGAGAACAAAAAATAAGAATTTCAACTTATTAAAAATCATGTATTGTGGAATATACAGTTTCTGATAGGTTGAAATTTTTATTCTCTGTTCTCTGTTCCTTTCATTGTGCGGAGTCCCTAAGGGTGAATCACATAGTGCGGAAAACGACTGTGGAATAGAGAATGCGTCATAAAAGTAACCAATCAACATTATTTTGCGTTATTCCGAATAACGCTGATTGATTGCGTCTATGACGCATTCTTTATTCCGCAGTCGTATTCCGCACCGTCTGATTTCACTCTAAGAGTCTGTGCTTTCCGGTTTAGAGTTATTTGGGAACAATTCCTGAACGCAACCCTGCCCTAGATATTTATGCTAGATATTGGATCATCTAAAAAGTATCCGCGGTACTTTGTCACTAGATATATGACCATCAAGTGACACATTTAGTGACAAAAAACTGCGGATACTTTTTAGATGACTCAATATTTATGCTAGTGTGATCCTAAAGTCTCTACTCTACTCTCTAGTTCATGCTATATTTTACGCGACTATCGTATGACTCTCTATAGCAAAAGAAAATTATCGACATGTCACATTAAGATGGCTCAACAAATGCACACTGGAAATGCTTGCCGCGCTGTAAAATGAAACGGTAGCCAATGAATACATTAGGAGCTGTAAGCTTATTGGCTACTGCATCACATTTTGTCGCTCGACAAACGTTTCCGCGTCCAGTGTACAGAAGCCATTTAGTTATCGAGATTATCGATAGTCGCTGTCGATAGTTTTCTATCTCTATTGTGAGCACATCATGTTTACTTGCATCATGCCATGTTATAAACAGTCTCGTCAACGAGAACCAGGGTCATTAAACACAAAGAAGAAGCTATAAACAGTCAAGCCTAAGGCGTAACGGACATAATTTTAAAGTTCAAGAAATTTGTAAGCATGACCGACAACAAAAATGATAAGACGAAAGTCGATCTCGGATTGCTCGAAGAAGATGATGAGTTTGAAGAATTTCCCGCGGAAGGTAGTTTTTTGAATTGATATATATTTATGTAACATAACATCGAAATCACTGATTCATCAAACACATTAACAAATCAGATTTGAAAAATATATTTATTTACTAGATTGGACCGCAAAGGATGAAGACAGCGATGATATTAGTGTCTGGGAGGACAATTGGGACGATGATGATGTTGAAGATGACTTCAATCAACAGCTGAGGTATTGTTTTGCCATAAATTCGTTTATTGAACAAATTCCACATATATATAAGACAAAGAGGGACAACATAATGCTTGATAAATAAAAAATGTTAAATGTATTAGGTGTTGGAATTAATTCGTAGCGTTTTTTAATGAAAGAATGTTATTTATTTCACATGAGCATTAAAAAATACATTAATGAAAGTACTTCCCATCACTTGTAAAACGCTACGAATTAATTCCAACACCTAATAATATATTATCAAGATATGCTCTTTTGACCTTTAAACAGATGGATGAAGTGATCTAATTGCAAGACTTTTTTTCTAAATATTTTATCTACAATTGTCGCTATCGTTAACTAGAAACAGCTAATGACAACCGCGTTTTCTTTCAGTATCCTGTCATTGGCTGTCGCTAATTATGGTGAAAATTTTTCTCAATTTTTATACGAATTGGAACATTTTTCAGAAATACTCAGAAAATTTACATCTTTTTTTTCATACAAGTGAATTCTGAAATATTCTAAAATTTCTCATCCTATAATTTTTAAAAAGCATTTTAAATTTTTTAGATTTTATAACATTTCATCAAAATATTATACTTACATATCTTAAAAATCTTACGATATTTCATAATTAATATATATGAAAAATTTTGAGAAAAAAATATAGATTTTCTGAGAAATGTTCCAATTCGTATAAAAAATGTGAGAAAATTAAAAATTATAGAGAAATTCTGAAAAATTATATGAGAAATTCTAAGAAAAATTTTCACCAGGGTAATAATAGCGACAATCATCGATAAAACGTTTAGAGAATCCTGTTACAATATGGTTTTTTTAAATCTGTTTTGTAATGGAAAATATGAAATATTGCCTAAAAGTATTAAGTTGAATCTTAAGTCTTATGCTGATTCTACAATAAGTTGGTAATTGGTCATGCTAAGTTTTATTAGTGAAATTGATCAATGAAGTTGGCCAACTTAAGCCTAAGACCGATTAAGACTAAGACTTCGGACTATCGACTCATTGTAGAATTAACATTATTGATGAATCAATGAAGTTGACCAACAGCCAACTTGTACTAAGACAAATTTTCTTAAGACTGACCAAATTCGACTTTATTCCTTCTCATTAGTCAAGCTAAATGATTTGTTGTATAATCAATAATTAAGTAGATGCAAAAAATCATAGTCACCTATTTAGATTAAAACTGGTTAAGACTTAAGACTACCGAATCATTATAGAATCAGCATTAAAGTTCCTTATTTTTACATTCTTCTGTCTCGTAATAATGTAAAATTTTATGGCCAATATTCATAATATCCAGTTTTTATATTTAAAATTATCTTAAGTCTATGGGCCTCTTTCACCAACTTCTGGCTAAATTAATCGACGATCAACTCGCCAGAAGTACCAACAACAGTTTAATATATCAGAACATTTCCTTCCTCTTCTTCTGTGTTCAGTTCTCATGTTGGCAATCGTAGTGAATTTACCATCAATTAGCGTTAATTAGTGTTAGTAAAAGAGAAAAAAAAGAAGCCCTAAGACATCATAAACTAATTGTAAGATTATCTTAAGATATTACTTAAGACAATCTGGAAATAAGAACAGCTTATGAATACCAGCATATATTAGGTGTACAAATACTCTAAACTTTTTAGCTAAATTCGAGATTTATTTTAAAAAAAAGTAAAACAAATTTTCAATCAAAGTATTCGCCGTTGCTTTCTATAACTTTAAATCATTTTTCAGGCTGTTAAATTCCATCTCGGAAAAATGCAATGTCTTTGGACTCGATAAAGTCGTGAAGCTATTTTCAGATCTCATCCATTGATTGGAAGTGAGTATCAGCATATTGTATTGACCGGAACAAATGATAATCGATTGGAACAATTAGTTTGGTGAATACGCTGGGTACTGCAAGATGTCCCAGCCAAGATTCATTATAGAGTCTTTTATAGTGTCTTGAAAGCAGTGTGGCCCTGGCGTTGTCATGTAATTTTGCAGAACATTCTCCTTTGCCAGCATACAGGCATTTCTGTTCTAATTCTTGATTCAAGCGATTTGTTTTACCCAGTTTTAACAGTTACGACGGGCTGCTACCAACGCCAATTAATCCGCTTGAAAAAGCATTTTTCCGAGATGGAATTCATCAGCTGCCTGAAAGATGGCTTAAAGTTATAGAAAGCAACAGCAAATATTTTAATTTAAAAATTTGTTTTACTTTCTTTTAAAATAAATCTCGAATTTAGCTGAAAAATTTTGACTATTCATTTGTATACCTAATAATATACACTATACTATACTAATAAAAAATATAACTGTAAAAATAAAAATTTTTAGAGTGTTTGAGCAGGATTGGGAAGTAACGTGTTATAATGACGTTACATTTTCGTTACTTTTTTTTTTGGTAACGATTTGATAACGCCATTTTTTTATTAGTAATGAAAAAGTTTCGTTACTTATATCGTTATAACTTGTATCATTAATTTTTTATAGGTCATAGCCATCACGGACAATAAGATTATAGGTACTAAATAACATAAAACTTTTTGTCAATTTTTCATTACTATTCTCGCTTTAACATAAGACTACTAAAAACTAAAATATCTATTATATAATAAAATACCGTAGAATTAAACATAAGTATGTGCAATATTAATAAAAGATGAAAATGTTCAAAGATAAATATCTTTCTAAATATCTTATATTTAATTTATATTCTGTTTTAGCATTTTGTCTTAGAAGCCTGTTTTGACATTTAAAAAGTGTAATTATGCAAAAAACAGGCTTAGTCATTGATTTTGATGAAATTGAGGCCATTCGATGTATTTTTGCACGAAATGAATGAATCTGACAGATTTCCTTATCTCAATAATCATCAACTTTAATCATTAATATCTCGGTTCACCGAGCGACACTTATTTTTCTGCCAGATTCATTCATTTCGTGCAAAAACATGTCGAATAACACCTAATTCATCAAAATCGATGAGTAAGGCCTTCTAGGTAGGTCTACTGTTAAATTACAAAAAAATTACAAAAAAAGTAATGAAAAGTAATGATCCTTTGTCGTTAATTAAATAATAGTAACATGTTACTTTTAAAAAGTAACTTTCCCAACACTGATTTTGAGCATTCCTCTTAGCAATTTGTATATATCTTTAGATCATCTACTTAAAATCTGTACAAAACTGCAAAGTGTACACAAAATTTACAGTGTTGTAATTAAATTTCAGAGCACAACTAGAGAAGCAGAAGGCTACAAATGATGTACCCAAGAAAAATTAATTCATTTGTAATGTTAATCTTATTATTTTATAAAATAAATTATTAAATATTAAGCTCATGTGTATATCTATATTTTGTATGTGTGTATGTATGTGTACACATAAAACTCTTCACAATCTTTTGAATATAATAGGGTTGCGAATATAATAGTTTAGAAAGGTTGTATAACATGCACCATATGTTTTACGGGAGCACACAATTCCTTTGTACAAAACTTAGTTATTAAATATAAATGCTATACTTGAGACTCTATTCTGTAACTCTTAATGACAGTAACAATATCATTACATTGTTTTTGTGTAGTACATGGTAAAAAAGCTGCGCACCAATAATGCAACGATATTGTTATTGTCATTAAGAGTTACAGAATAAAGGCCTTAGTAAGTCCAGAAATGCATATAGTGCCTTCCCAAGAATGACTCATCACCATTCAATTGAAAGAAGCCATTATTCTCTGGAAAAAATATCTTGGCATATCTTATTGTAAATATATGATCAGGTACAGTCTTCGTTTTTAAAAAATCTGTCGGGTTTTTCACAAAACATAAACGGTCAACATATCGCTCTTATTTTAAAAGTCACATGATTAAAAAAAATTAAGAAAAGAAAAGAAACTATTTTTCAACTTGATAGAAAATTATTGAATCAAATAATATCGGCAGAAAGAATATATTTTTAATATGATGAAATGTCATTTTTGTCATTTTCATTTCACATTTTTTAAAATACTATCCTTGGTAATAATTTTTAATGAAATTAAAAAAAAAGTTCAATATTATAATATCATATTAGACCGCGATGTGAACATACAACAGTTAGGTCGTGTATTTTTGATGATTAGATAATGATAGGATAATGTTTATTTAATTCATTTATATTCGGAAATTATCTTTTTTAAGTTTTGTCATCTTTGAAGCATGGGAGCGATATGTTTTACATATGGCACATACATTTTTTTATATAATTATTTTGATACAAGTATCTTAATGACTCCCCCACAGACGCATTATCGAGAGAATAAAAGTGTGCGAATCTCACTAATTATCACAATCTTCTATTTAAAGAACTTAATAAACATCGAAATTAATTCCTTGTGGCGTCGTGATTTGTTTTACAGGAAATCAATAATTCCGATACTAGTGCATCCAACATTTGCATATTTAAATCTACGTTGATCTTTTTGATTTTATATGAACTTAACAAATAGTTCAGAGCGTTGTGTATATCGTCCTCGCCGAATGTCAATTTTATATTGTACGATATCTTTTCCTCTAGTATATGTAACAACTTGTCTTTCAACTGTATATCGTTCTGACTTGTGTTGTTATGTGATGCATCCCAAATTAAGGAAGAGCCGCTCAGAGAATCAAATAACCAAAGAATTATTTTCTGTAAATAACCATAAAATTAACAAATATAATAATTATAAAGAAATGTAATATTCTTTTGAATATAAACCTGTAGGATTGGCTCTGAAATGTTCCCAAATAGCAACTTAGTCCATCTAACGACTGCTTCTTGCTGCAGAGTGTTATTACTAGCAATGCCTGTTAGAAGTTCACAAACTAAATCTATCATCGTACATGTCAGTGTTAAATTCGAATCTAATTCATCTACTTCATCTAAAAAATATAATATTAATCTTTTATTATTGTAATTACAAAATACAATTTTATATTATTTTATTTCATACAACAAAAAAATAATATTATTAGCAATATTATCATAGCTACCATCATATGAAGTATTAATCGTCTCCCACCAGCAATCCAGTAACTCTGAATCTCCACTGGCTTCTATCGAGTCAACTGCTTCATAAGCTGTGTCTACTGTAAAATACTCTGTCCTTTCCGTGATCAGTTGCTGTAGTTCACAAGCTAGACTTTTCTATGAAGAATAGATATTTTGAAATATTAATTTTATATGTTATACATATATAAGAGTTATAATTTAGAAGACGTAAATCGAACTGAAGTAATAAATTGCAAATTTAGTTTTCAAGGATAAAAATAGACACATATATAAGATGAGGCTCGAAAGAATCTATCAGTGAAAGATGTAAAAAAACCCATCAAAACCGTCATCAGCTGTTCGGATGCACAGAAAATTCTTTATTTTGTAAAGATGTAAAATATATTTTTCAGTAAAAGTTACTCTGAAAAACTGTTCTACGAGCATTATTATGACAATCAGAAATATTTTATTGGCTATATTATAATGCAATTTGTTATACAAGTATAAACTATATTTTGCTACACTGATTGATTCATTAAAAAAATATTAAGTTTTTTTAAGTTTTGTCCTGCTAGATTCATATTTTATCTCACTGTGCAACGTGGCCAAAATATATTAACTTTATATTCGTATTGGTCTACATTATGGATAATTACGCGTGTCATATGCGCGCGCGCGCGCGTGGTGTGTGTGTGTGTGTGTGTGTGTGTGTGTGTGTGTGTGTGTGCTAATGTAGTGTATGTATATACATACGTATTTCGTATGTATATCTAACGATCTTTAGGATAACATAATATATAAAAGATAAAACAATCAAAAATTAAAAAACAAAATTTCGATTAGATTTAAAATAAAAATTTGAATTAGATTTAACGCATGTGTTACTTCTTATCAAAATATTTTATATTCTAATATAAGAATTTTATTGATTTTTGAAGACATTGTAAAACATTAAAGTTCCTAATTATCAGGGTTATTAAGTTAAATTATTAAGTTATTGGGTCATCTAAAAAGTATCCGCGGTACTTTGTCACTAGATATATGACTATCAACACACATCTAGTGACAAAAAACCGCGGATACTTTTTAGATGACCCAATATTATTAAGTTAACTTTTTTTAGCTAAGTTAAGTTGAAGTTAACAGCCTTGAAAATTTAACTTAATTAAAATATAAGTTAATTCATAATAAAATTAATTGAATTAATTGAAAAGTTAAGTTAATAAAAAAAGTAATTAAAAAGTTAAGAATTAAATTTGGTTCGAATAACCAAAAAAAAAGAAAAAGATGATTATTTTTTATTATTTTACATGATTTTTCGTATTTTCCCTTTCTTACAGCTTATTTATTTAAAACATCTGGTTATTTTTTGTTCATAAGTAACGATTATATAATATAAAATTACTAAATTATATACTCATTAGCATTATATATATCTAAGGATTGACTTCAAAAAATTCGAATTAATAGTTACTGATAAAATGTAACTAAATTAAAAAGTTAAGAATCTATAATGTAACTAAATTAAGTTAAAATTAATTAACTTTTTAACTTTTTAATTTAACTTTTATCTTTTTAACTTAGCATTACCCAACTGCTAATTATATTTAATTCCAACTATACCTGTTTTTCTAAAAAATATATACATATATAATTTATACATATAAGTTCTACATTACCGATTTTATATCTTCGACAAATCTCCAGGGTATATCAGATAAGGGCATCAAAGTAGGTAGAGGGGAAGCCTCTTCTTCTTGATCTAGTTCGAATCCTGGCACAACAGTTTTCAACGTATTAAAAACGCCAGTCACGGTCTTGGCTAGAAATCGATCCAAACGAGGCGCTACCGCATCGGCTTTCTTGCCCGCGCTACTACTAGGTCGAAGAAAGTGACGCAGTTGTGGCGGACATTCGTTCGCCAATCGCGTACATAACGTTTTCAAATATATCTCCAGTTCGATCCGGCCACCCTCAGGCAATACCAATTCCGACATGATATTTACTAATGATGGAATCTGGAATTTTGCGAACAAAATATAGTTATTAAATTTAAATTGTAGCTTTGAATTTATTTGTATTAATTTATTTTTATATAACTTTAAAATATTTTTTAGTTGCAAAAACCTTACTTCTTCTAAACTGATGTGCAATTGAACAAAATCAGCGTATTGCCTTTTGACTGTAGCAGTGGTTGTTTCAAATAAATCTACTCCACGTTGTTCAACATCATCAAACTGTATACAATAGTATAATTGCTGCGAGCCGTCTGTTGCAGTATGGAACTCAGTCCAAGGAATTGATAAATTCATAAATTGGCTTCCTTCATATATCACATAGGATTTTTCTTCAACGTGTCTGAAATTTACAGATCTATGTAGCAATGTAATTGAGATTAAACATCATTACTAACAATGGTGTGGTTGCTGTAGATTTCTGTTGCAACAGATTTCTAAGCCTAGCGATAGTCGTAGCGAAATCCGTCGGCTCTTCGTACACCGGTGATATCTTATCTTCATCTAATTCCAGATCTGTGTCAGTTATGCTTCCTCCCCACAGACCTCTATGTTCTATAGAGAGACCTTCCAAACATAGAGTTGGTCTTTCTGGAGTTACCATTAAAACTGCATTCTTGTTTTCACTAGTAGTTGCAGTTGGACTAGACTTAGATACAGATTTTGGCAATTGCTGTGGGATCACAGCCGCTGTCACGGATGTAATACCATCACTCAAAGCAACACTTATGGTACCCTAAAAAATTAAATTATTGTATGTAATCATTATTGTGTTTTATACACACACACACACACACACACACACACACACACACACACACACACATACACATTACTATATAATAATAGTACTATTAGAATTTACATTGATATTTTGTTTAACTGGAGCAATGACACTATTAACTTCGTTTGACGGAGCTTCCAATAATATTAACATATTCTCAATCAACCAATCTGGGCAGCTTATTGTATCTATTGTTATTAAAAGTCTCTTTGCTAAAATAGATAACAAAAGTTTGCATGGTAATGAACTAGTTAATTCCCATTGTAAAAACTCTTGTGCCAGAACAGTAACTAAACGATATAACATGTGCTCCAACGTCGACGTACTGCGAGATCCAGGGTGTAAATATTTATAAGCTTCCTCCATGCTAGCTGCAGTACCCTTTTCAACTCTACGTAATGCTCTGTGGAAATGTGGATATATACTGATATGAATA